TCTCCTTTTTCGGATTCGCTCAAGCTTCTAGACTCGTCATCATCGTCGGCGTAAGCTAATCTCCATGTTTCACCTTCAAGCTTTTTAGCACTCTCGATCTCGGTTGTGAGATCAAAGCCCCGAGCATGGATTTCCTCGAGGGTCTCCCTTTGAGATTGACATTTGGCGTGCTCGGCAACCTTCTCTGCTCGAACTTGAGCGGCCTCGACAACCTCCTTTGCTCGAATTTGAGCGGCTTTAGCATCAGCCTGATAAATAGCCACCACTGCATCAGCATCAGCCTTGGCTGCCCTGACTTCATATTTGGCCGCTTTGAGCTACGTGACCAAATTCTCGCGAGCAGAAACTTCTGAACCCAACTAGGACTGGAGCTCCTCGACGTTCTTGGCCCGCGCAAGATTTCCTCTTTCATACCTCGGAGCTGGTTTTCAATCGAGGCCAATTGGGCTCGAGCAGTCTCCTTCTCTGAGGCCAGGCGGTTCATTTTCTCCCTCCAGCCTTCAGCCTCGGTTTTTAGTGCATCAGCCTCTTTACAGAGTTGCCTGATCACGTCAAGATTTTGTTGGACCTGCGGGTTCGAACCATTAGATACCACGCCCAAATCACCGTCACTAACTTCAAATATTCTTCTTATCAGCTCGACTAGCTCGACATGGTCTTTTTGAGCCGTTTACGGCTCAGCGTGGAGGCCTTAAGTTTCCCCTTCTCTTTGCTCACTGAGAAACTTGAAGGCATCATTTTCCTCAGTGAGTCCTCGGACCTCGGCCTCGTACTGGCTCAACTCCCCTCTGAATCGGAGGAAAACTTCATGATGAAGCACATAAGCCTGCAAAAACATAAAAGGAAGTTATATAAAAGGAGAAAAATCTAAATATGAAAATTGACATCGACAGGGAGATCTGGGATTACCTGGTTCAAAGCTTGTTGGGCTTCGTTGAAAAGACAAGGTGTTCCCACCTCATCCATCTTGGCTTGGTCTTCTTCGGTAACCAAGCATCGGAGGTGACTAGCGACCCCTACGGGGAAGAGAGAACCTGAGCATCCTCCGAGACCGAGATGACAATTGATCGTTTACGCTCGGGATCGATGCTGGGAGCCGGGAACTGGTCAATTAGTTTAAAACTCGAGGAGGCTTCATTCGAGCTCTTCCTCTGTACTTCCAAATCACCCAGACCGGTGAATCTTCCACTCCAACAAAGTAACCACGGAAAGGGTCTTCGGTCCCATGGACCCCTTAACCGTGGCAAGTCTCCATCACCTGAGCATCCTTGATCGTCGAATCAGAGAATGAAGGCAATGAAGGGGAGTCTCCAATCTCTATCGCCCCAAGTAAATTTCTTGGGGCGCCGCCTTCATTTCAGGGGGCCTTGGACATGGTTTCTACATTAGCGTCCGCCGCCTCCTCGATATCCTTTTCACCTCGAGGGGAAGCGACTTCGGTTGAGGCTTCCCCCTCGGGCTCATCAAGTCGAGGCGGAGCATTTTGAGCTCCCGCCGGCTCGGGGATTTTTTGAGCATCAGCATCAGCCCGCACTCAGGCCACTAGCCTGATTTCTTCTTCATCCTCTTCGGACACATCAGTAGCCAACGGACCGAGTCCATTGTTAGAGGGATGACATTTCCCTTGGGCTTACGGGTTCGCCTTTTTTTTGGGCCTTTTTCTTATCCGACTTCATGGAACTCAGAGCTCCTCTCCTCTTCCGTTCCTTCTTCTTCTTCGGAGCAGATGGTTGGGAAAGGATTTCTTTATTGTCGGATGGGGCCTCATTGGCACATCTTTCCCAAGACGTGCAAAATAAAGATAAGTAAGATCAAAGGGAAATTCGAACAATAGCCAAATTGTTAAGTCACAAAGGAAAAACTTACCATGGTTAAGGGCCTCCCTTTGACCCTTCGCCAAATCGCGACATGCATGCTCAACATGTGTCGATTTCGATACTAGGCTCTTGACCCAGTTCTCGAGTTGGGGAACCGCACCCGACATCCAGGCAGCGGTTGCATCAGATAAAATGTTGATAAGGAATGATGAAAAATAAAAGACAATAAGTAGAAATTAAGGACAGAGTTATACTTATGTTTCGTATTCCATTTCTCAGGAAATGGCATACTCTTGGCCGGGATAAAGTCCGAGGTTTTCACCTCGATAAATCAGCCCATCCAGCCTCGGTCCTCGTCTTAATCTATGCACGAGAAAGGTGCCTTAGAGGCCCGACGCTAAAGCTTTATTAGTCCTCCTCGATAGAGTCGGGGGCTATATAGGTGTATGAGGTGATCGAGGGTAAAGGGAAGACCATCGATTTGGCTCACGAAGAAACGGATCAATATCACTATCCTCCAGAAAGAGGGGTGAATCTGACCGAGGGCCACTTCGTACTTCTTGTAGAAGTCTATAATGACCGGATCTAGAGGATCCAATGTAAAAGGTAAGTGTAAACACTTAGAAACCCTTCCATATGGGTAGTGATTGATTCCTCAGGCGAGGGAACCACCACGTGATTGTCAACCCAGTTGCAGTCCTCTTTAACTTGGTCGAGGAGAACACCGGTGATCGTGCATATATACCTCGACATTGGCTCACATCGACCCGCAACCGAGCGGGTCTTTTCAACCTTGAAGTCGAATTCAATAACACACCCTCCAGGAACGAACTCTTCATGGTGTGGCTAAGCCGCTGGTTGCTCGCTGGTCGGCCGGGATGAGGAAGCAGCTTCCTTTTGCGGAATAGTTTTTGAAGTCTTAGCCATTTTGCTTTTGCGAGTGAAGAAGAATGGAAATTGAGGAGAAAAGCTTGGTATTTTGTGGTGTGAGAGGCGAAGAAACACCAAAAGTTCTGGGAGTTCAAAGCTTTTAGGGAGACAAAGGATTTTGGAGATTAGAGCAAAGAAGATAAGAAAGTAAAGTTTGGGCAAAAGAAGAACGATACATTTATAGGTTGAAGACGATGGTTCAGAATTGGTAATGGCCGGCAACAACTGACAGGCATTTAATGCCTCGATATTCGAATAAACGGGACGTTTTAGTATCCACTTGTCGCTGAAGTCATGGTCGGATTCGTCGCTTACGTTATGACCCATCGAGATGGGATTGGAAAAGATCATATCGTTTCTCGTCGCCTTCTCTCCGAGAAACGAGGGGACTATCTGTATACGGTCAAAATCGGGTTTGACCTGGAGCGAGGCAGGCCAAGGTTCGACCTTATGTTATATCGGACCACGACGTAAAGTTAGACTGCCGAGCTCGAGACCCAGAGACCGATCGAGATCGAGGTCGGCTAAGATCAGAGCCATGCAAGATGAAGATCGAGCAAGGTTGAGGAAAGCTTACCGAGCCAAATAACGGAATACCAAAATATCCTCAATCGGGCAAGGATCACGGCGAAAATCTCGGAACGTATCAAGAAGAGGCCGATTATTTAGCTAATCATGAGATTTCCTTCTGTATTTAAAATTGTACCATAAGTAGAATTCCTCTACTATATAAAGGGGTTCTAATCATTTTGTAAGGAGGATATTCACGCATAACAAAGCAATACATTACATTTTCTCTCTTAAGCTCTGTTGCTCAGTTCATACTTTTCAATTATACGTCGATTCGATTCGAGGGCGATCTAGCTCGAGGGCCAAGATGTGGTTTATATTGGTTTGCTCTATTTTATAGTTAAATTCTAACATTAATTCTCGTATTTCTCAGTTTGTGCCTAGTAAAATCACATATCCTTAAAACCACTTATAAATTTAATTGTTAACCAATTTTAAGGGTAAAAAAGGTTCTTGTACAACTTTATATAAAACCAGCTCTAAATCATAGCAAGGTCGAAATAGAGGAGTTTATGTAGATTTCACCGCAAATTTATTAGTAGAATAACAAGGTTGTCCTAGGTAATAAAACACTACAAATGTTAAATAAACAAAGATGAGTAACTGATTGGTGAAGAAAAACTAGTAAGCTTGACTACATAGATATTTCCTTTCCAGGGAGACTTCTATCCCATAGAGAATTTTAAATTGTCTATAAAGAAATTAAATACCCATTTTGCCTCTCCCAGCTTGTCTAAATCGATTTTCATTTTCATTTTATATTTAATATTAATCGATGTTATATTAATTATAAGCGCATAAATTAAAACATTAATGTCTACTCGTAATGCCACACCCAATCCATTCACTAAATACAAAAAGTGATATCTTTATAATTACAGATAATCTTCTCACAAAGTCTCTGTTCACTATAAATTAATAAAAAGATTAAGGAAGAAACACAATAACAGACTAACAAACGTAATAAGAAGAAGCTTTCTAACTAACATTCCCAACAAATACATCAAACTTACTTAGCTAAAAATGAACATTTGCATTAATGATGTCTTCGGCTGACACCAGAAATAGATATTCTGAATTGTGACTGGCTTTATTAATACCGTAGAAAACCCAATACATCTCTTTATGAGAAGTGGATTGGAAGGAACTCTGTTCTAAACAGGGCAAGTTCCAAATTTGGCATAATTACATTCACTACCCGATATGCAAAAATATAGAATGATTATATATAAAATATGTATTTTTTTTTGTATTTATTATAAATTAATACACAAAAAACATACACTTTGCCGGCTATTATTTTTTAGAGCGGCTATGCTGTGTAATTTTCCTTCTAAATATCACTATTATCTAGCTAGTACATTGCAAATCTAAAACTGTAAGTTAATGTGGAGTATTATTGCATCCACTACTAGTTTAAGAAACTAGAATTGAACTAATATATTGTTTAAGACAGTCAAATATATTCGTACAGTTGAAGTTCAAAACAATACATTGAGTCATGGGCTGGTTCTCTGAAGCCATTATTAGGGTTTGCAAACTCAGTTTTTTTTTTTGTTAACTTTAAAACAAACGTTTGGACAATTCCTTGCATTTTCGAGATTAGTTGATTGGTTATCAGAGAGACCTTTGGAGATTACTTTGTCTCTCTATAATTATTCTCAGTTTCATTGCAACCAAATGAGCACCTCCAATCATAATACAAGTTATTAAAGGAGAACGATAGTTCAACAAGACACAGAAAGAAGATAATAATAACCAGTCTACATTTACCGTTGTGACTTCCTCTCTATTTCCCCACGGGAAAGAGGGATCCAAACTGAGTTTAAATAAAAGCAACATGGAACAAAAATCTCAAGTCCAAGACAAAAACAGAAGAGAGGAATAGAGCTAGGATGAGAAAACGGTGGTCTATGAAAGAGGTAAACTGCTAAGCAATAGAAGGAAGCGAGCTCATCTTCCATCGATTTCTTCTCTTTTATCAATAGCATTAGGCAGCAAAAGGCTTATAGCTTCAGGCTCTTCTGTTGGCATAATCACCGGACTCAACATTGTCATCTCTGAAATCTTCACCTGCATCAACTGGGCTATTAACATCACCAGTTTCAGCTTGGTTACTGGTATCAACATTGCCAAATTGATCATTGCTGCCAAAGCTGCTTGTGAAACTGTTGCTCGCAGCCTCGCCAGTACCATAAGTGTCACCACTGCCTGCAGCAGCAGCACCTAAGTTCTGGTTTTCACTGGCATAGCTGTCACCACTTGGAAAGTTGTTCCCGCCACTTGTCCCAAAGCCAAAGCTGCTTTCTCCGCTTCCATAATTATTGGCTCCATAACTACCGGCAACATTAGCATCACCACCACCTCCGCTGCCATAATTTCCACCACCACCATAACCACCAGCTCCATAATTACCACCACCACCATAACCACCAGCTCCAAATCCTCCACCACCACCTCCTCCGTATCCTCTTGTCCTGTCGTTTGCTATATTTACCCTAATCCTACGACCATCAAGCTCCTGAAAGAAATGCATTAAAACTAGTTGTCATAACCAGAAAACAGAAATGCATGGATGTATACAGACATGTCCACACAGAACTCTCTCTCCTCCCCCTGAAGACAACTATCATGCATATTTAAACACATAGGTTTCTGGATAAACACTGATAGATACCAAGAAAGAACATCAACTTTAAGTTATTCGCATCATGTGATACCAAACACAAAGAAAACAGTTTTTTTCCCCTGGAGCAGCAAAGTGATGAAAATCCAACACACCTGTTGGTCCAAAGCCTGGATAGCAGCGCTGGCATCCTCAGAACTATTGAAAGTAACGAAGCCAAATCCCCTAGATCTTCCAGTTTCGCGATCCACAATTACTCTTGCTGCAACGAGTTGAAAACTTTTTCAGTAATTCATCAAGAAATTAGTGGCCATACGCATGCCTTCCAATATAGATATATACACGTGTTCATAGTAGCTTCAAACAGTAAAAATTGGTGAAGTAATTCTTCCATTAGTCAACGCGATTCACTTACTAATTCCAATCAGAAATATACTAATGGTCACTCCATCATTAAGGCCCTCCTTTTGCTAAAAAATTAGTGCTTTTCATCCTTACACGGCATCTGGAAATTCATTTTGAGGAGCATCCACAAAAAGAGTACTCCCTAATTTGCCAAATATTTTAACTCAAAATTATTCAAATTCTGCCCTGGCATTCTTTATTATGTGCAAATAACCATCTCTATAATAATGAAAAGGATGCACCAGAATGCAATAGTATGTAACATGTGAAAGCACGCCTGCAGCTGTCCAGCTTTAACTTCAAGCACAATGCCTAACTTCTATAGTCAAAATCAAACAGAGGTCTAAATTAGACAAACCTTCAACAACGTCTCCGTACTTGCTGAAAGCTTGTTTGAGAGCGTCATCATTCGTGTTCCATGAGATTCCTACATTTTCAAACTAGAGGAAGTCAGCAGAAAATAGAAGAAATGTCGCAAATACTGAGCTTAGCATAAGAGATACTACACACACCTCCCACAAAAAGTTTTGAAGAAGACATGCATCTAATAAGTTGAAAAATTGAAGGCTTGGATGCAGATATTTCATGATTGATGCGCTGCTTGCTAACAGCCTGCCGAAGAATGTTCCCAGCTTTGGTAAAGAAAGCCATTCCTGAAAACGGGGCAGAATAACTAGTATCAATAAATTAATGAAAAAGGTAAAAGTGTGAATGCCATGATTAAGATTTGATCAGGCAGCATGCTGTTTATCAACTTACCCTATGAGATTAATCTTTCAGTTTGATACTTGATATAACATTTACATGTGGCACAGCATTAAGCTACACAAGAACTAGTTCTGATATTCTGAATTGTCAACTACCCCTAGTTTAAGAGGGGTAGAAAACAAAACCAACTGATTATTCCAAGTAACCTTTAGTTCCCTTCGGCTCTTTGGGAGTGCTCATGTGGAGAGGAGAACAAGGAGAAAGGTGCAGAAACAATTTTCCCCAACCATTTAAGGGTACCCTTTCATATTTTACATTTTCATAGATCACTGCTTCTATGATTCACTCCCTAATAGTTGAAACTGAAAGTAATAAGTTATTGTCAGGGAAATTAATTAAGCCCTTTGGATGTTAGAGATATTACAATTAGTTCGTATATAATGCTTAGAGTTGAGAAGCTCGTGTCTTGGAATAGGTCGTTTGGATTAATTTAAAAATTAAAAAATCACAAACTTTTTCCCTTTTCTTGTCAAACAAAAGTATTCCATGTTCTACGATATATTCTGTTTTACTTTCTCATCCATAAACCGGACTACTAATACCCAAAGAGAGAAACATATACCCACAACTTCGAATTCATTTTCACATGAAAGCAAATAAGAATGCATATTAACTCGTAAATATCTGTGTGATAATAAAGAACTAGTGAAAATCACAGAGAATGTAAAAATTAACTTTTGCACCTTTCCTTAAGCATAGAGATTAGGTACAATCATTAGAAACTAATCAAAAGTTCCTATTTTTTACATTAAAAACACTGGGAAAAGGGTTTAGGGTTTTGATAAAGAATATGAAGTGTAAAGATGCAGCAAATAGATGTAATAAGAGAAAAGAAAAAGGAAATGAACATACGAATTTAAGCTTAGCTTAGCCGGAAAAATAGACGGAGAGGAGAAGCGTCGTGTTTTAGAACTTTCTACTTGGCCGGAGAAGAGACTGACTGCCGTATTTTTGAAATTTAGGGCGGAAATGATTATTATATAGGGTTGTCAGTATTTGGACTCAGCACGACCCGTTAGGCGGAATTTGGGCCTGCTAGTTTGGACTTCGAAAATCGTAGAAATGCCACTACGTAGCCACTCTAAAGTGCTGCTATTTTGGAATTCGTCAATGTATCCTGAATTTTAGTTTTTTTAATTTAATTTTTCGGGTCATAAATGACCTGAATTATCCTGAAGTTAATATTTTTAGTTTAAATTTTCAGAACAAGATTAAATACTGGCTAATCCCCAAATAGCAGCTCCAAGAATGATTGTTAGTATACTTCTTCCTTTGAAGTTTGCAACTTTTGTATCCGATGGAACCCAATTTTCTGGAATCTTTATACAAATAGCCGTCGAGTTTACTGCTTATTTTTTCTAGCCGTTAATATAAATTATACACTAATTTTGTACGTTATGCATGAATTATATACATATATATCAGTAATTTCTAGTTTAAGTGGTTGACTGAGTGGCTATTTAGATTAATTCTTCTATTATATAATCTTGATATCAACCCTTATTTTTTTTATCCTTAACCAAAAAAAATTATTTTTCAATTATTTTGAACTCTTAATTAAATTTAATGTTAGTCTCCTATTATTTTACTCTAATTTCCATATTATATTTATAAGAAAATAGAAGAAAACAAATATAAGTTGAAAAGTTAAAAAAAAAGTTGGAGAATTAAGGTTAATATTGTAATACCCCGTAAATTTTCATGATTCTTTTTGAACTATAATTTTTTCGTCGCCCGAGTTAATCATATAAAATTATTAGAGATAGTGAAATTCATGCGAATAATATTGTGAATGTCAGAAGTGCGTTCGAATTGTTAAAAAGGACCTGAGTTATTGTTTGAATAATTTTTTTTTAAGTGTATACTACCAGAGAAGATAATGATTGTTTATTTTACATATGGTTATATAGATGTATAGTTGATTTTTTTTTTTTTGAAATTAATATTTATATATTGAGGGATATGTAAAAGGTCTCATGAATTAGATAAGTGGCTAGTGGGCCTAATTTATAAATGGTGCATATTGATGGCTAATACATTAATTGTTAATAATAAATAATGGTAAGTGGGGTAGGCCCATATCTTTCTTACTGAGTACGTGTTGAAGACCTAAGGCATAAAATAAGATAATAAGGTCTTATTTCTATAAGAGACTAAAGCACGCATAGAGGATAATTGCCGGAAAAGGATGTCTGATTTTGATAAAGGAAAAAGCTAAGAAAAGAAGGCAAAGAAAACAAACTAGGGACGCTTGGTTTTGCTCACATTGAGGCCACTGGAGGCCTTTTGATTGGTGTTCTAGAAGTTGCAAGGGGAACTTCCTGTTAGCGAGGTAAGTGAAACTTTAAGCTTTGATACTTGCTTTTCTAAAATCCGTTTTAAAAATGTATTTTTCTCTGTCTGGTCCATTTGTTGGGACAAGCGTGTGCTCAGCAGAATTGGTGGTCTTAGACTAGCCGCAAATATATTATTTTATGAAAAATAAAAAAATAAAAATTATTTTATAAGTTGTTTGATGGCGTGATACGGTTGAGAGCCATAATGTTGAGTATGATATTTTGATACGGCTGTGTGCCATGATGTTGAGTTTGATAGGGCTGTGAGCCATGATGTTGAGTTTGATACGGATGTGAGCCATGATATTGGAGCATTGTGTATGCATTTGTACATCACCCGAGCATTGTATATGTTTCTTGATATATTCGGCCATTGTGTATGCCGCCGTGACAGATTTGGGGCATTATGTATGCCACCGTGATAGATTTGGAGCATTGTGTATGTTGTCGTGATAGATTTGAGCATGTGTATGCCACTGTGATAGATTTGGGGCATTGTGTATGCCGTCGTGATAGATTTGGGCATTGTGTATGCTGTCGTGATAGATTTAGAGCATTGTGTATGCCGCCGTGATAGATTTGGGGCATTGTGTATGCCTCCGTAGACTCATCGGGGTGTTTGATTAATTTTCTTTACTGCCGCTTATGACAACCTTAGTGTAAATTGTGTTAAAGATATAAGTGTGATGCTAAATATTTGTTTGGACATTTTTATTGTGAAATAATTATTGTGCATATTATTTTTGTGTTCGTTGTGTGTTTGTATTTTCTAACACTTGTTCCAGATGTATTCAGAGTAGCGGGTCGAGGATCTTACTAGGTTATATTCACATATAACTCACTCCTTACCTGCATGTCCATGCAGATACAATTGGTGAAGACGGAGGTAGTTGAATACAATTGGTGAAGACGGAGGTAGTTGTTGATGGGTTCGCTAGAGTTGATCCAGTTAATGAGGCGAGTCACCATATTATTCGTGGAGGCTTCCAAACGAGTCTTTATCATTTATTCATATGATATCTATTGTATTCCTCTTAGATGTTCCATAGTCTAGTGCATGATTTGGGCTAGAGTGTTGTTTCTTTGTTTATTTATGAAACAATTTGGATCATTAATTATTCGCCATTTATTTATCGAAAAATTGGAACTTACATTTATTTTGTTGAGTGTTGAATAAATGTTAAGTATATAGTATAAGTTGGTTCGCCCGGCGGGTAGTGTTAATTGGGCGCCAGTTACGTCTAGGGTGATATTGGGGCATGATAAAGTTGGTATCAGAGCCTAGGCTTTATGTTCTGGGTCATGAAGCAGTGTTTGGTAGAGTCTTGTTCATGGGTATGTAGACGTCCATACTTATGACCTTGAGGCTACTGAATATCTAGGATGTTTTCCCTTCTTTCATTCCTTATTCGTGCGTTAGGTTGTATCGAGTTTGAACTTGGTGTGACTCTTCCATTAAAGGCTAGGATACATGTATCCTCCTCTGTTAGATGATACAGATGACTTGAAAGTTTGAATTACATTTGTGCAACTAAGAGTGGATTTGAGTTTAGTTTTTTTTGAATTGGTTGTAGCCGAGATTCGAAAAGTTATTAATTTGAGATAACTCTATTTACTAAGGAACCTCTTTCAAGACTTCTAAGAAGTTTGGGAGTTAGATAAATTATTGAACATTGAAGATCCGTGTAAATGTGAAGTGACCTAAGGATATGGCTAATTTCTAAGAGCGACTTATCAATATTTGAGGTTGTGAATATAATTCCCCGTTATGAGTTTAATAAGAATAGAGAAAAAAAGGTTGAATGGGAAAGTAAAAACAAAAAAAAAGTATAATAATTTAGTGTTGGAAAGTGCTTATATAATTATCAACTTAATGTACTATTATTGGTGATATCGTGATGGTGATTTAAAAGTACGAGCGACGTGAGTATACATAATTCAAATGATTATGTATAAATATGAATATATGATTGTGGCACCGTGTAACATGGTGGGAGTCCATGAAATAATTTAATTTGTAAGAGAAATTAAGCTTTATGTATAAGGCATAATGCCCCAATTTAGTAAAATATTGAGTATGAAATTTAGAGAACAATAGCGTTTTTCATTGTTAAAATAAGACTAAGATGTAAGTGTTGATAATATCATGCATATGATAAAAATAGGTGAATCATAAACGAAGTTTTACCAACAAAAAAAAAATGTCATGACTATGGGCAAAAAAAAAGAAAAAAGAAATAAAGTCATCAGTTGGTATGATTTTATTAATATACGATGTGTTTGGCATAATCTTGAGAAAATGAGCAACACGTTAATGAGATGATAGGGTAAGGGGATAGAGAGAGAACATGAGTACTTGGATATATCATTTGTGATTTTGACTTAAGTGGGAGAGCCTACTATAATTGACCGGTCTATCATATATGTGTGGAAATAGTTTAGAATCGTGATACACTTAAGGCTATACTAGACAAATATGTTTGGAGACTTTAGAGCTAAGAATGCTACTTTAACACAAATGTGAGCAATCATTCAACTAATTAAAGAATCTAATAGTGAACCCGAGCAAGCCATGATGAAAAAGTATCCTCATCTGTTTGAGATTACAGGTACACGACTCAATTATGTTTTGAACAAATTGTTTAGCTATACATGTGGCTTATTAGTATAATGGTGATGTGATGACCTTTTATATGTATATAGGAGTATCGTGAGGTTGATGTTATTGGACTGAGTAGCTAGAAGTTCGAGGTGTTGTTGTTGTGTTATTTGGATATGTTAAAAAAATGGATAACTCTAGTTATAAGAAAAATCGTGCCTAAATTTTTGAAAATTTTGGTAGTGAGCCAAAGGTCGAAGACTCGAGAGAAAAGTAAAAGTGATAATAGGCCCAAGGGTTTTCCTTAAACCACGTATGATTTAGTTTCAATAATTGAGGACAAATATTCCTAGGGAAAAAAATGTAACGCCCTGTAAATTTCTAAGCTTAAATATGTTAGTTATAAAACTTATGACAAGATCAAGATTATTATAAGTGTGACAAGGATGTCACATAAGGTATATGAGATAGAGAAGAACTGATCATGGAATTTAACCAATTCTAGCTTGGTCGCTATGTGGGAGTTCAATATTTCAATTATATTCCTTTGTAGTGGCGGCATGTGAGTTAAGTTCTTAAGTGGCATAATGTGGTCAAATAATATAATAACATGGAACTAAGTCCATGGATATTATTGATGATGTCGATAGTCTCTAAAGGGTTCTAGCTAGATAAAGTTAACAAAGTTGGGTTTTGTCCTGATTGTTATTTATTTAACTTCATGTACGCTTCAACTCTTGCTTACATATATATTGTCATGGGCGGCTTTTCAGCCATGCCCCGTGACCCCTTGGACGCACCCCATGGCGTCCTGGCAAGCCTCCCAACGCCCAGCGTCATGATCGATCCCGTGGTCTCGGCAGTACCAAGTGACAAGTGCGCATGTGCCTCTGTCGCCCCATCAATAGCCCACGCCAGCGTCTAGCGGCTAAAATATGCCAATAGCGTCGCGCGCACAGACAATGCTGGGCGCACAGTTCATGATGATGCCAACAACGCCGCGCACACAGATAATGCCGCGCGCAGATCC